TATTCTATTCTATTCTATTCTATTCTATTCTATTCCTATATTCTATTCCATTTCATTCCATTCCATTCTCCATTCTATTCTATTCTCTCCTTTTTCTATTCTATTCCTATATTCTAAAAGAAAGAAAAAAGAAAAAAAGGCATTGACCTTTGACTCCCTCTGATGCGGTAGAATAAGAGAGTAGCATCAAACCTCATCTTTTTACTTTTACATATAGTAATATAAATGAGCCATTTCTCTATGAACAAATCTATTGAATCGGTAAAACCCAGCATCAAAGTTTCATTTTTTTACCCACCTCAAGCACAAAATCTGGAAGCGGTTCCCAAGTAGAACCAAAAGTACTTATAGTCTTTTCTTTGATGCAAATAGTCAATTTAGCCATCTCTGCTTAATCCTTCAACTTTGATAATAGTCTCCTATTGCTTGGAAATCCTCAGCTTTTTCCTGGTCTGTATTTAAGTCTGATTTAAAATAATACTAACCAGTGATGCTAACCATACTGGCTATTTAACCCATCCTTTCACAAACATGGACATAGAAACCCACTTTGGCCTACAATTTTAAATAAGTTCAAATACTGAAATATAATATTTTGGCAAGGAAAGCAAATTTTAGGCTGTTCTTTTTCTTTTTTTTCTCCCAGCAATGAAGTTCAGCATTTCACTAAAGTAGCCAGATGTGTGTATGTGTGTGTGTATTGGATGTTGGATTTTAAATACCAAAGACTGGTGACTTGTCATAGTGTGATAAATTGTTTTGGGGGTGATTTTAGCCATGAAGTTAAGAGGGGCTGACAGATATTATGACCTGATAAGAAAAGGAGACTTAAGGAATGCTTAGTGTAACTAATAAAGCTGGTATGTACAAGGATTAAGAGTGGCAGGCTGTTTCCAGGTCTAATTGTTTTTTTAATAAAGGAGGCACAGACAGGAGAACTTACAGAGAACAGAAATTTTTTAAAAGAGACTGCCGAAGAAACAAAAGACAGAATTACAAAGCAGTTTCTCCTTGGAAAAGTCAATAAAACGGCCGGAGTTTGCATCTAAGGATTTGTCTGGAGTATCCTTAATCCAGCTTTCTTATTTTAGTAACCCTACAGCAACTTTGGAGGTGATTAGCATTATCTTGAAACAGTGGGAGGAGGCCCGTGAGCCCTGAGGCAGTCGTAAATATGCCTAATTTAAAGGGATGAAACACCGGAGCACTAGGGGGGAAAAAACAGTAGTGTTTCCGTCTATGAGTGAGTTCTCTTTTAATTTCCTTGAGGCAGGAACATCTGGCTAGGGTAGTTAATGTAATTGCTAATGCATGCATCCAGCAGATGCCATAATGACTTTACACATGTCCGGACAACTTTGTGCAAAAGGCAGGGATTAAGCCATGATGTAAATGGCATAATTTGAACGATTTTAGTTACGTTGCAATGCCTGTGCAACTCCTCACTTGTAGATGGCAGAGAGGACTGGTCCCTCTTGCCCATTTTGCAACTCAATCAATCAGAATAGAGCTGGAAGGGACCTTGGAGGTCTTCTAGTCCAGCCCCACTGCTCAAGCAGGAGACCCTATACCATTTCAGAGAAATGGATGTACAGTCTCTTCTTAAAAACCTCCAGTGATAGAGCACCCACAACTTCTGGAGGGAAGCAGTTCCACTGGTTGATTGTCCTCACTGTTAGGACGTTACTCCTTAATTCCAAGTTGCTTCTCTCCTTGATGTCTGTGGAAGTTCTCAGTCATCCAGGTCATGGTTGTCTCAAATGTGCTTTATTTTTTTCAAGAGGCAACTGGACTTCCTTGTTTTTTTCTTTTGAAGACCTTTCACTTCTCATCCAAGAAGCTTCTTCAGCTCTGACACCTTCCATTCCCCACTGTCCAGTCAGGAGTGGGATTTGGAGGTTCTCCAAATTGCGCAAAATCTTAGCTAGGGGCTCTCCCGAACCCCTGCAAACCCCCAGCAGCCCACCTCTGATTACCCGTATGGGAAACTTTCTTTTGTGACACTTCAAGGCCTGAAGATGGATGTAGTTGGATTGCAAGTTGAGTCAGCAGCGTGTCAGGGTTGCAAAAACAAATTGTAATTATAGACTTCTTTTATCCAAGGCAAGGGATTTGCATTATTCCGTGCTAATTGGGCTTCATCACCAGCCCTGCAGGAAATAACTAGATCAGCTTACCGAGAAGAACAAATGGAAACAAATGGATGAAATGAATTGAGACTTTGGAAAAAAATTCAGAGAAAAGCAACTAGGATGGAAACTAAAACATATGAAGAACGGTTGCCAGATTTGGGTTCAGCCAGTCTAGAGAAAAGAAGGA